AAAAAAAAAAAAAAAAAAAAAAAAAAAAAAAAAAAAAAAACTTAGTTCCCTAGTAAAGTACTCAGGAAGGACTCACTGGAATAATATTCCATATGTTCTTAAAAGTTGATAATAGTTTACGCGTATCTTGTATTCTCTAAAGTCTATTTTAATGAATATAAAATCCTCAGCTTATACTTTCTTGTTTTAAATAGCTTACTGATACTACTCTATTTTCTTCAGAAATAAAATGTTGCTGTTAAAAGTCTGGTAGAAATCTAATTTTATTTTCTTTAAAAGTTACATGATCTTTTTTCTAGATGACCATAGGATTTTTTCTTTAATCTTTATTAATTTCACTAGAAATTTTTTGATATTGGTCATTCTGGGTCAATAGTCTCAGGTAGTATGTTGTTGCAATATATTGTTTTAAATCCTTTTTTTAAAATATCAGAAACGTTTAAAAAAATTTTTTTTTCTCTTCTTGCTTTTTGTTCTTCAGGGACTCCTAGTATCTCTATATTAGATATTCTTTGCTATGTTTGCATTTGTTACATTCTCTTGAACCCCTTTTACCTCATTATTCCCATTTGACTGTAAGAAATGCTCATTTCTGCCTTCTGTTTTCCTTAGCTATGTGTTTTTCCGTACTGTATCCTAGTTTAGTCTTCATTTTTGAAATGTGTTCTTTTATGTCTAATTATTTTCTGTCACTTCAGTTTTCAGCTTTAACAATTCTGATTTATACTGTTTCTTCATGTCTTGTATAATTTTCTTTAATGTCTTTGAGTTTATTTTGAAATGGCAAGTTGGATTTTTGTCTGTTTTGTGAGCATAACTTTTTAGCATGCTTTATTTGTCTCTGGAAATAATATTGAGCTCCTTATTGGCTCATTTCTTTTTAACTTTTGTTTTACATGCAGGGGTAGATGTGTGGGTTTGTTAAAGTAAACTTGTGTGATTGTGTCATGGAGTTTGTTATACAGATTATTTCATCACCGAAGTATTAAGCTGAGCACCCATTAGTTATTTTTTATGATCCTCTCTCTCCTTTCACCTCCACCCTTTGAAAAGCCCCAGTGTGTGTTGTTTCCCTCTATATGTCCATGTGTTCTTATCATGTAGTTCCCACTTTTAAGTGGGAATATGCAATATTTTGTTTCTGTTTCTGCATTAGTTTGCTAAGGATAATGACCTTAGCAAATGCAAAGGACATGATCTAATTCCTTTTTATGGCTGTATAGTATTTCATGGTGTATATGTACAACATTTTTTTTATCCAGTCAAAACCACAATGAGATACTATCTCACACAGTCAGAAAAGTTTTTTTTTTTTTTTTTTTGGATTTGGGCGTCACCCCGAATCATTATTTTCCTTACTCATAAGTTTAAAGCATCCAGAAAAGCTATTATTAAAAAGTCAAAATAACTAACAGATGCTGGCGAGGTTGTGGAGGAAATGGGAATGCCTATACACTGCTGGCAGGAGTGTAAATTTTACGTAGTGTTAAAAAAAATGACTGCTTGTTTATTGAGATTTCTTGGTTATCTTCTCCAACCAAGAATCTTCTGTTTTAGGCTCTGTTTTCCCCAACATGTTCATTTTGTATTCTAGTTCTAGTAGTTTCTCCACAGGTGTTTCCTGTATTAGAAGGGAGCCCATTTTAGTTTTGAGATTTCACAACAGTTAAGCGGCTCCAATCCCTTAAATCCTTATTTCATGCTCTTTGAACTCACGTGGTATTAGGAGAGAAAAATCTGTTTTCAGTTTCCTAGGTGTTCTCAAATTAGCCCACTGTACTTTCAGTAAATAACTGTTGGCTCTTATGGGGATCCATTCACCTTTAGATATGATACCATTTGATTCCCTTTTGCATTCCCCTGAACAAATGCGAATACCATGTGGGTCCTTGTGCTGTTGATGATTTGTTTCCATTTGTTTGTATTAGGGCACATACCTTGTTGCCCAGTTTTGTTGTAAACATGGATTTTTTGTTTTGCTATTTAATTGCTCTATTTATTTTAAAGTGAGGATTCAAAAAGATTGCAAACTATACTGTCATTATCATCACCATCCTCCCAGAATCCCTAGAATGGACTTAAAATGCAAAAACTACAACTGCTACAATAAATTTAGTTATATATTCTTTATAAGAAATACAATATGACATATTTAAGTAGAAACTTTTGAAGTAAGGAATAGAAAAAATGTACTATGCAATTTTAAATCAAAATATGGATGGTTTAACAATATTAATTTCAGACTAAATAGTCCTTAAAACAAATGATAAGTAATTTTAAAAAAGAAAGAAAAAGAAATAGTATCATTACATAGAAAACAATTCACTGAGTGTATATAATGATGACCTTGTATACCTCTAAGAAAATAGTTCTTAAAAATATATAGAGCAATAAATGGATAATTTCAAGGAGAAATGAACAAATCTATAATTTAAATGGGAGGTTTTCACATGCTATTCATTTAATTGTATATACATACACACACATTTTTTATGATAAAAATTAGTAAGACAACAGAAAACTTGACAATACAATGATCGATGTTGATGTAATGAATACATTAATAGAATCTTGCATAAAAAAAACAGAATATGTATTTTTCGAAAAGTACATGAAACACTTACAATTTTTTTAAATTTTTATTTTTGTTTTAAGTCCCAGGATACATGTGCAGGATGTGCAGGTTTGTTACAGAGATAAACATGTGCTGTGGTGATTTGCTGTACTTATCAAACCATCACCTAGGTATTAATTCCAGAATGCATTAGCTATTTTTCCTATGCTGTCTCTCCCTCACACAGTCCCCCAACAGGCCCCCGTATGTGTTGTTCCCCTTCCTGTGTCCATGTGTCCTCACTGTTGAGCTCCCACTTGTAAGTGAGAACATATGGTATTTTGTTTTCTGTTCCTGCATTCATTTGCTGGACTTGAAACTGGACTCCTTTCTTACACTTTATACAAAAATTAACTCAAGATCGATTACAGGCTTAAATGTAAAACCCCAAACTTATAGATTTAATGGTATTACCATCAAGCTGCCATTGACTTTCTTTACAGAACTAGAAAAAAACTACTTTAAATTTCATATAGAACCAAAAAAGAGCCCATATAGCCAACACAATCCTAAGCAGAAGAAACAAAGCTGAAGACATCATCACACTACTGACTTCAAACTATACTATGAGGCTACAGTAACAAAAACAGCATGGTATTGCTACCAGAACAGATATATAGACCAATGGAACAGAACAGAGACCTCAGAAATAACACCACACATCTACAACTGTCTGATCTTTGACAAACTTGGCAAAAACAAGCAATGGGGAAATGATTCTACATTTAATAAATCATGCTGGGAAAATTGGCTAGCCATATGAAGAAACAGAAACTGGACCCCTTCCTTACACCTTATACAAAAATTAACTCATGATGGATTAAAGATTTCAATGCAAAACATAAAACCATAAAAAATCCCAGAAGAAAACCTAGGCAATACCATTCAGGACACAAGCATGGGCAAAGACTTCATGACTAAAACACCAAAAGCAATGGCAACAAAAGTCAAAATTGACAAATAGGGTCTAATTAAACTAAAGGGCTTACATACACCAAAGTAAACTATCATCAGAGTGAACAGGTAACCTACAGAATGGGAGAAAATTTTTGCAACCTATCCATCTCACAAAGGGCAAATATCCAGAATCCGCAAGGAACTTAATCAAATTTACAAGAAGAAAACAAACAGCCCCATCAAAAGTGGGCAAAGCATGTGAACAGACACTTCTCAAAAGAAGACATCTATGTGGCCAAGAAACATATGAAATAAAGCTCATCATCACTGGTCATTAGAGAAACGCAAATCAAAATCACAATGAGATACCATCTCATGCCAGTTAGAATGGCGATCATTAAAAGGTCAGGAAACAACAGATGCTGGCTGGCAAGGATGTGGAGAAACAGGAATGCTTTTACACTGTTGGTGGGAGTATAAATTAGTTCAACTATTGTGGAAGACAGTGTGGCAATTCCTCAAGGATATAGAACCAGAAATACCATTTGACCAGCAATCCCATTACTGGGTATGTACCCAAAGGATTATAAATCATTCTACTATAAAGACACATGCATGCATATGTTTATTGTAGCACTAGTCACAATACTAAAGTCTTGGAGCCAACCCAAATGCCCATCAATGATAGACTGGATAAAGAAAATGTGGCACTTATACACCATGGAATACTATGCAGCCATAAAAATTTTTTTGTGGGGGACAGAGAGCATTAGAACAAATACCTAATGCATGCAGGGCTTAAAATCTAGATGATGGGTTGATAGGTACAGCAAACCACCATGGCACATGTATACCTATGTAACAAACCTGCACATTCAGCAGATGTATCTCAGAACTTAAAATAAAATTAAAAAAAAAAACTGTTTATTAATGTACCTCCTGCCCCCGAATAATTGCTGACTTAAAAATGCACCTTGGTGGCCACTGTTAAGAAAATGCATATTTTTATTTCATTATACAGTGATAATCTTATATGTTTATATATAGTGTCTGGTCTAGTGCAGTGTATACAGTACACAGCAATAAATGATCACTAGTAGCAATTGTGAGGATTAATTGATATATATGAAATAATTTAAAAAATTATAAAACACTGTAAATGTGAAGGATCATCATGATCAATACTTTAAGTCCTAGTAGATGTCATACTATGCAGGCCATGTTCAAAATTAGTTGAGGTAATGAGAGTACATGGTTAAGTTCCTCTTCCTTTGTTTGAGCAATCTCTTTTCCTTTCTATAGAAGGTATGGTGGGAGTTGTAAAACATACTATTAATATATAAAATCCTTGGGTTACAGACTCAGCACAAGGACTGCAATTATCAGTGAGGGTTCAAATAAGGAAGCAGAATGCTATATGAATAATTTAGATTAAGGAATGTATTATATAAATTGGACTTTCTCCAACGTAGAAAGAGCTGGGCATTAAAGTTTGTGTAAGGGAATTAGAGGATCAAAGAAGAGGCATTAACCAGCCATCATGAGGAAGAGATGGCAATGAACAAATGAAAGCTTGCAAAGAGCTCTGGAAGCTAGGCACATCTAGCTGCTACATTGGGGTTGGGAAAGAGGAATGGTGTAGAATTTGGTTGCTGTTTGTAGGCACTGACTGTAAATTTGCAACCAGTGTCTGATGGTGCTGGCCTTTTATGACAGAATGACTAGCCCATGAGGGCAGGAACCACTTCTTGTGTTTCCTTTGTTGACATGCTAGCATATCAAGTAGTAATGGCATAACATGTTGCTTGATAAACATTAGGTGAATGAATGAATGAATGAGTGATTGTCTCTTAAGTGTCCCAGAAAAGGGGTGGTCTTTGGGAGTACCAAAGAGGGGTCTGAATTTGAAATATGGATTTAAGTAATGTTTGAAGTGATGGGAGTAGATGGACTCATACACACACACACACACACACACACACACACAGAGTAATAACATAATCCCAAGGGCAGAACCTTGACTTATAGTCAAGGGAACAGGTGGGAGGGAAAAATCTTGTGAAGGATTCTGAGAAGTAATTAGAGAAAGAAGGGAACCAAGAAAAAGTGGCATTGGGGAAAACAAGAAAGATAGTACTTTAAAATAAAACTATCTGTTGAAGTCACGTGACTGTTTAGGTCACTATCTACAGGAATGGTGAACTCTTTCTCACCTAACATTTCTTGAACATCAGTTTGATTTGCTTTTACTCCCTCCCTCTGTCCTTTGGGGAACTCTTGAACATATTTCATGAGCAAGAGTACTGGACATTCATTGTTTGTCTTCCCCTTCCCTGGGTTAGCAATATTTTACATTCCTGTGGCCATGATGATTGGCTTATTCAGGATGGGTGCAGTTCAAAGCTATACCAATTGTACTGCATCTCTGCTTTAAAATGTAGGCGTTGTTGTAGAAAAGGCTTGTGCTTTTCTACTGGATGTGAGGGTGAAAGCAGCTTTGGGACTGCGAAAGCCATCTTGCAACCACAACATGAGAAAGGAGCCAACGTGGAAGAGAGAAAAGCTGAGAGACAAGAAAACCAGGGTCTTGTGATATAATTGGAACCCCCCAATTAAGGCATTCCTGAAGCAAGGCCTACCTCAGTTATATGAGCTGATAAACCTCTTTGCATTTTAATCTCAATCTAAAACATCCTAAATGACATTCCAAGAAATAAAATATACTAGATTCCTTTAGAAAATTAAACATGCATATAGACATCTTTGTTTTCTTAAAAGTGGAAAAAATTGTTTGTATCAACCAAGATCATGAGTCTAACTGCAGAAACTGATGTTCTATAGGGAATATTGTCATAACTTGAACAA